AAACTCCACGAGAACGCGCGAGGTGTTTACAATGTTCATGACTGCTGTCTTGAGCTCAGCAGGCTCCATGCTTGCCGTGGTATGGAGTCTGCAGTGTTCACCCAGGAAAAAAGGCGCGAAATGGTTGTCTGCCGTCCCTTGCTTTCATGCAGGGAGGGAGGGAGGGAGGAGGTGAGGCTGTACCCAGAACCACCTGCGACGATGTTTTTTGTCCCATCAGGCACTGGGATCTCAACCCAGAATTCCAATGGGCGCGGGAGACTGCGGGAACTATGGGATAGCTATGGGATAGCTACCCACAGTGCAACGCTGCAGAAATCAACGCTAGCCCCGGTACTTGGACGCACACCGCCGAATTAATGTGCTTAGTGTGGCCGCATATATTTCGACTTTATACAATCTGTTTCCCAAATTCGAATTATATAAATTCGGATTAATCCCGTAGTGTAGACATACCCTAAGATTCAGAAGGGGAAAAAAAGAGACCACTTACATATTTTAGTGCCTGTACAAAAGTGGGGATTTTAAGAAAAATTGTAATATAAGTAGACTAAAAAATATTATTTATTTGAAATGGTGTCAGATTTCACCCTTCACCCAAAGAACATTTACATTCTCATTTTCATAATTAAGACGTAGACCAGGAAAGTTAAAGGTGATCCTGCTAAGATTTATTTTAAAATGGGCTTGTGTCTAATTTGGTTTTTCTAAGATGTATAAAGAAGGCCCCCAAATTTGTTTCTTTTTTTTTTCCCTTTACCCTTAAAAATATGAGGATTGTCAAATCTGGCGTTCACTAGTTTTACCAAAAGGAATTCAGGGACGTCTGAGGGACTTGTTTTGTGAACTCCAACATCTACCTCAATGGGCAAGGGTGTTTAACAAAGGCAACACAGTCATGTAATCCTGTTCATAAACTTAACAAGATCCATTTTAAAACTAGTTAGGTTGTTTGCCCCCACTAATATTAGAAGGCTGTTCAAGAACCTCACTCCTCTGTAGTAACACTGTACTTACAATAAGATATATTAATGAACTAAGGCCCCATCCTGCAAACATTCACACACACAAGTAGTCCCATTGATTTCACTTTGTGTACAGGATCAGGACCCAATACTCTAGTTGTCTAGCAAATAAGTACTTACCGGTAACTTTGCCAAATAAATAGTCTCATTGGCCTTCAATAGGACTCCTCATGGAGTTAATGTGTTTAACTGTTTTGCTGAACTGAGGCCTGACTTAATGCTGTAATTAAATTTTAAAACCCTATAAATGGCAGCACATTTTCCCTATTATTCTCAGTTATACTTAATCTGTAATATATTGTCTTAATTAGTGTCCTGAGTACTTTTCATATAAATAACATTCATGGACTCTAGCACACACAATACTACAGATACTTTACCCATGCAGCTAAGGTTGTAGAAAAAATGTGATTATGTAATTAAGGACTATTGTAATGCATCCTCACATAGAACAGAATGAAGGTTGCACATGCATCCTTTGCTATGGTATTTCATGAATATTTAGTGCTTACCCATGCAACTTTAATGGTCTCAACTTGTTTTTGGTATTGAATTACTAGAAGAGAAGGGGGAAGATATTTGTTTTTAAAAAGATGTTCTACAGAAGCTTCATAATAAAGTGTTCTATAATACATAATCTTTTTTTATTCCTGTATGCCAGCTCAACAGCAACAGGGCCCAATGAAGTCTATCCACCATCATATATAATATTAAAAAGTTGTTCTATAGAATAAAAAGATGTTCTATAGAAGCTTCAGACTTCCAAGTTTTGCAGGTTTCCAACACACTGCAAACAGTGCGCTGAATTACCACAATCCAACTCCCACATAACAATCTTGTGCACCATATGGGATCCAGGGGAGCTTTTGTTTCCACTGTGCACTTTTCAAGATCAGTTGGAACCCTTTCTCAGCCCCTAAATTACCATACACAGTGTATGAAAGTTCTTGCTTCAGCCCTGACTCTATGGCCCCAAACCTGCATATATTTGCACACATACTTAAAGTTAAGTGCATGCTTAAGTGTCTGTAGGATCAGAGCCTAAATTGATTGGACTGCACATTGTGAATCTAACTTAGTGCACAAGCACATGCCACCAACCTTCTTCAGTGCACACTTAACAAAAAGTTACGGCACACGGTCAGAACCCAGTTTCAATTACCTAGAAAATAGTGAAATCAAAGTCTATATCTGCTGAAATAAGGCTGAGACTCCTCTTCAGTGGAAACTAATTTCATGCCAAATTTCAGCTTCCAGTCTTATGCATTTAGGCAGTAGGATTGCCCAAAACATGTATTCCTTTCAAACTCCCATTTTTCCCCAGCGATTATAAGGCCAGAAGGAATCACTGTGATCAACAAGGCTGATCACCATCACCACCCCACCGACCAATATAAATACACCACAGGACTTCCCTAAATTAATTCCTGTTTGAACTAGAGTATCTCTTTTAGAAAAAGATAGTCTTGATTTAAAGATTTCCGGTAACTACAAATCCACCACAACCATTTATAAATTGTTCAAATGGTTACTCTTACTGTAATAAATGTGCACCATATTTTTTAGTCAGAATTTGTCTAATTTCACTTCCAATCATTGGATCTTGTTATATCTTTGTCTGCCAGAACGAAAAGTCCTTAGTCAAATTTCTTCCCCTCATGTTGGTACCTATAGACAGTGATAAAGTCATCCTTTAACCTTCTCTTTGTTAAATTAAAGAGACTGAGCATTGTTACATTAATTTAGATGGAATATATGAGCCCAAACAGTTAAAGGTGTCAATACAACCCAATCACTGTCCAACATTAAACAGTTTTAAACCAGGTTTGGGGTTTGGTATACAGAGACCTCAGCCTGCTTAGAACCATGGCAAACAGACCATTAAAAATCCTAACTTTTTATTAAAGATACAGAAAAGTAGGAAAACAGTCAAAGTATTTGAAATGTAAAGTATTAAAGAAGACTTTCATTTTAACATGCCCCTTGTTCCCTTTAGCTGGACACTTTTTAAGAAGGAAAAAAAATCCTTGTTTGACAATCTTTTAGGTGGTATTGAAAATGGTAATAACTCTCCTTTTGGGGAAATAAGAATTTAGTAGAGATGAGCTGGAGCTGTCGTTATTGCTGTGAAGTGCAATCCTAAGATGACAAAACAAGAAACACACACACAAAGGGAGAGAAAAAGAACCTCAAAGATAGAAGCTGCAGCTTGTCTCCCTGGTGTTGACTTTCACTTGCAACCTTACTGCTGGAGAAACACAGGTACAGCACAGTCTTATCAGCCACTCTCAGGCCTGGCAAACTCATATGAGCAGCAGGCTATTTAAGGCATCACTTTTAGCTGCCTCTTGCTTGTCACAGCTTATAGCAGTGTTGTAAAATATACAGTCTTAGCAGACTATGCCAGACTCTTTTTAGAGAGACGGGAAAAGAATAGTAAAAGAGAAGAAATCAGGTAGGGAAGGAAAAAGAAGACACTAGTGGGGTGAGGGTGAGAAAGAGTCTCACAGCTCAGGTGGTATTTGGGATTTAGCCTAAGCCAGTGGAGGTAGCAATGTTATTTGGCTCCTTCTTCCTGGCCTGGTCTGCTCAGGATCTCTCTCTGGACCGTCTTCATCCTAATCATGAGACCAAGGAGTCCAGAGGGAGGGAGGATGGCAGCCATGATGGTGAACCTCGTTCCAGTAACCAATTTTTCTCCCAAAAGCTTTCTTTAAGGACCCCAAAAGGGAATGATGGGTGGAATATCCCATCCCTTCATCATTTTGTCCACCAATTAGGTCTAGTTTTATACACGGCAATTCTGGTTCTACACTTCTTTTGTTACCAAGCATGATCTTAACACAGTCCTTGAGTCATATCGGGAGACTTTTTTGTTTGGACTAATTCAGTCTGTCTCACTTTTGCACCTTTTCCCATCAATATTTGTTGTTACAGGTTATTATGACAGCTCATGAACTTACACTCACTTTTTACAATTGAGCTAACAAGTAGAGTAAATTTGTAGGTCCAATTATCACAACAGTTCTTTGAGTAATAAGGTACATTTTCCAATTCTTTCACCAATCTTGTCATGCTCAGAAAAACAGATGAAACATTCTTGCTCAACTTTACAAAACAAGTCAGCCTCTAGAGGCTAAGCCCAAGCATAGGAAGTTTTCAAACAATTGAAAAGTCAGTTATAATGGAAAATGTTATGTAATTTTAACTAAGCAAATCGTGATCAGTACTCTGCTATAACAGAGTACTATTATTGCTCTATTTGGAACTGCTGCTGGAAAGATCAAGACAAAGTAAGCTTCCACAGAAAGATCATTCATTATTAAAGGATAGTCAAACAGTAATATAGTACTAAAATTCTGTATGAAATGTGGTTACTCTCTCATTATGTGTTTTTACAGCACCTAGAACAATAGGGGCTTCATGTCACTGGGGACCCTAAGTGCTACCACAATTCAAATAATAAACATGTATCAAATATCTAATCGCTTGATTACTTTTACATTCATCTATGGATTTAATCCAGTTTGGCAGAATTTGATTTTCATGGAGTAGATGGAATCAAATGTATTATAATTAACTGAAATTTAGTGGCTAATATATACAAATTTTAAAAAGTTTAAGAGGAAATTCTCCAGAGTAACAATATTTGAGGGAGTAGGAGTTAGTAAATAAAATTTAAGGCTTGTATAGTCATGGTACTATTCCAGATAACTACATATGTGGACACACTTATTCTAGAATAAGAGTGCCTTGTTCCTGTTTATCTTAGCCCAATGGGTTAATAGCTGTTCCTGAATAACTCCACAGGTAGACAACCCCCTAGATCAAAGCTGTGGAACAGAGGAGTATATAAGCAGTCTGACATCAAAGCAAAGAATTACACATCAGCGAGAGTCTGGAGGAGCAACTTGTTCGAAGACAGCGCAAAACAGATCTGTCATTTCTACTTTGTAACACATTTTAAAAATTGTAGACATTAAAGCTATTTATTTTGATAAACCTAAATATTTAAGGCATCATTACTCAAGAAAATTAAAATCATATCCTGAAGAGTCTAGCTACTATGTGTTTTACCTCCTTCTGTCGAGCAACAAATCGAACCTTCCTGTAGTCATTTTCTTCATAAACCTGAAATACAAAATAAGTTGTATCTTAATTAGAAAGTAGTTACCATGACTAAGGGATATGAATATTTAAACTACAATAAAAATCTGCTGGCAGTTCAATACAAAAGTGAAATTGACTTTCTGGGCTTCAAGTTCATTGTCATCTTGAGGATGGGGATTGAGGGCGGAGTTATCACTTCCCACAAAATATTTCAAATGGGCAAATGATACAATTTAGAACATAAGAATGGCCATACTGAGTCAGACTAATGGCCCATCTAGCCTTTCTATCTTCTGAAAGCGGCCAAAGCCAGGTGCTTTAGTGGGAATGAATGGAATAGGCAATCATCATCATCCACGCTGGCAATCAGAGGCTAGGGACACTCAGAGCATGCTGTTGTATCCCTTACCCCCTTAGCTAAAAAGACATTGATGGACCTATAATCCATCAATTTATCTAGTTCTTTTTTGAATCCCGTTATAGTTTTGGCCTTTACAACATACCCCGGCAATGAGGTCGACAGGTCCTCCTTTACTTTCTCCACACCAGTCATGATTTTATAGACCACTATCATATCCCCTCTTAGTCATCCTTTTCCAAGCTGAAAAGTCCAAGTCTTTGTAATTTCTCCTCATATGGATGCTGTTCCATACACTTAATAATTTTTGTTGCCTTTTTCTGCACCTTTTCTAATTCTAATATATCTTTTTTTGAGAGGAGGTGGCAAAAACTGCATGCAGTATTCAAGTTGTGGTCATATCATGGAATTATATAGTGACATTATATTTTCTGTCTTATTTAGATCCCGGCACTGAAACAAAATTCGTATCTGCAACTGATCCATAAACATGGTCCGTTCCAAGATCTCTTTTGGGAGTGGTAACAAGTAATTCAGACCGTATAATTTTGTATATACAGTTGGGATTACGTTTTCCAGTATGCATTACTTTGCATTTATCAACATTGAATTTCATCTGCCATTTTGTTGCCCAGTCACCCAGTTTTGTGAAATCCCTTTGCAACTTTTTGCAGTCTGCTTTGGACTTAACTACCTTGAGTCTCATCTGCAAATTTTGCCTCCTCACTGTCTGCCCCCTTTTCCAGATCATTTATTAATATATAGAACAGTACTGGTCCTAGTACAGATCCCTGGAAGACACCACTATTTACCTATCTCCACTGTTAAAACTGACCATTTATTCCTACCCTTTGTTTCCTATCTTTCAACCAGTTATTGATCCATGAGAGGACGTGCCCTCTTATCCCATGACTGCCTACTTTGCTTAAAAGTCTTTGGTGAGGGACTTTATCAAAGCGTTTCTGAAAGTCCTAGTACATTATATCTACTGGATTACCCTTGTCCACATGTTTGTTGACCCCCTCAAAGAATTCTAATAGATTGGTGAGGCATGATTTCCCTTTACAAAAGCCATGTTGACTCCTCCCCAACATATGTTGATCTGTGTGTCTAATAATTCTGTTCTTTATTATAGTGTCAACCAATTTACCTGGTACTGAAGTTGGGCTTACTGGCCTGTTCTGTAATCACCAAGATCACCTCTGGAACCTTTCTTAAACATTGGTGTACATTAGCTATCCTTCAGTCATTTGGTACAGAAGCTGATTTAAATGACAGGTTACATAGCAGAGTTAGTAGTTCTGCAGTTTCATATTTCCTTCAGAACTCTTGGGTGATCATCTGGTCCTGGTGACTTATTATTATTTCAGGGTTTCAGCTGGCTACCAGCAGGTGTTCAGGGAAGGATCCCACTGCCCACCCCCTTCAATGCACTGGTTTTTTTTTAAATATCTCAGTCCTCATAAACATCAGGGATGGCTACAGCTGGAGATGAGACACTCGTGGGCTGAGCCAAGGCTCTGAGGTGGCACTGAGCATTCTCTCTCTCAGATGCTCATGATCTAACTGTATGTGAGGTCAGGAAGGAATTTTACCCCAGATCACACTCACAGTAACTCTAGGGGTTTCTGCCTCCTCTGCAGCACATAGAATAATAGAATCATAGACTTTAAGGTCAGAAGGAACCATTATGATCGTCTAGTCTGACCTCCTGCACAACGCAGGCCACAGAATCTCACCCACCCACCCCGGTATCAAACCCCCAACCTATGTCTGAGCTACTGAAGTCCTCAAATAATGGTTTAAAGACTTCAAGGTGCAGAGAATCCTCCAGCAAGTGACCCAGGCCCCACGCTACAGAGGAAGGCGAAAAAACCCCAGGCCTCTGCCAATCTGCCTTGGAGGAAAATTCCTTCCCGACCCCAAATATGACAATCAACTAAACCCTGAGCAGGTGGGCAAGACTCACCGGCCAGACACCCAGGAAAGAATTCTCTGTAGTAACTCAGATCCCATCTAACATCCCATCACAGGCCATTGGGCATATTTAACGCTAATAGTCAAAGATCAATTAATTGCCAAAATTAGGCTATCCCATCATACCATCCCCTCCATAAATTTATCAAGCTTAGTCTTGAAGCCAGATATGTCTTTTGCCCGCCCTGCTACCCTTGGAAGGCTGTTCCAGAACTTCACACTTCTGATGGTTAGAAACCTTCATCTAATTTCAAGTCTAAACTTCCTGATGGCCAGTTTATATCCATTTGTTCTTGTGTCCACATTGATACTAAGCTTAAATAATTCCTCTCCTTTCCTGGTATTTATCCCTCTGATATATTTATAGCCTTCTTTTGGTTAGGCTAAACAAGCCAAGCTCTTTGAGTCTCCTTTCATAAGACAGGTTTTCCATTCCTCGGATCATCCTAGTAGCCCTTCTCTGTACCTGTTCCAGTTTGAATTCATCCTTCTTAAACACGGGAGACCAGAACTTCACACCGTATTTCAGATGAGGTCTCACCTGTGCCTTGTATAACGGTACTAACACCTCCTTATCTCTACTGGAAATACCTCACCTGACGCATCCCAAGACTGCATTAACTTTTTTCATTGCCATATCACATCAGCGGCTCAGTAATCCTGTGATCAACCAATACTCCGAGGTCCTTCTCCACCTCTGTTACTTCCAACTGATGCGTCCCCAGCTTATAACAAATATTCTTGTTATTAATCCCTAAAAGCATGACTTTGCACTTTTCACTATTAAATTTCATCCTATTACTATTACTCCAGTTTACAAGGTTATCCAGATCTTCCTGTATGATATCCCGGTCCTTCTCTGTATTGGCAATACCTCCCAGCTTTGTGTCATCCGCAAACTTTATTAGCACATTCCCACTTTTTGTGCCAAGATCAGTAATAAAAAGATTAGATAAGATTGGTCCCAAAACTGATCCCTGAGGAACTCCACTAGCAAACTCCCTCCAGCCTGACAGTTCACCTTTCAGTAAGGCCCATTGTAGTCTCCCCTTTAACCAGTTCCTTGTCCACCTTTCAGTTTTCATATTGAGCCCCATCTTTTCCAATTTAGCTAATAATTCCCCATGTGGAACCGTATCAAATACCTTACTGAAATCAAGGTAAATTAGATCCACCGCATTTCCTTTGTCTAAGAAATCTGTTACCTTCTCAAAGGAGGAGGTCAGGTTGGTTTGGCACGATCTACCTTTTGTAAAACCATGTTGTATTTTGTCCCAATTTCCATTGACCTCAATATCCTTAACTACTTTCTCCTTCAAAATTTTTTCCAAGATCTTGCTTACTACAGATGTCAAACTAATAGGCCTATAGTTACCCGGATCACATTTTTTTCCTTTCTTAAAAATAGGAACTATGTTAGCAATTCTCCAGTCATATGGTACAACTCCTGAATTTACAGATTCATGAAAAATTCCTGCTAATGGGCTTGCAATTTCATGTGCCAGTTCCTTTAATATTCTTGGATGAAGATTATCTGGGCCCCCCAATTTAGTCCCATTAAGCTGTTCGAGTTTGGCTTCTACCTCGTATGTGGCAATATCTACCTCCATATCCTCATTCGCATTTGTCATCCTACCTGAGGTAAAGTATTTGTTTAGATATTGGGCCAAGCCAAATTATCCTTAACCTCCGCTCTATCCTCAGTGTTTAGCAGTCCCACTTCTTTCTTTGTTTTCTTCTTATTTATATGGCTATAGAACCTTTTACTATTGGTTTTAATTCCCTTTGCAAGGCCAAAAGCCATGTAGAGTTGGACCTTTCTCACTTTATCCCTACATGTTCTGACCTCAATAAGGTAGCTTTCCTTGCTGATCACTCCCATCTTCCACTCCTTGTAGGCTTTCTGCTTTTTCTTAATCACTTCTCTGAGATGCTTGCTCATCCAGCTTGGTCTACAATTCTGCCTATGAATTTTTCCCCCTTTCATGGGATGCAGGCTTCTGATAGTTTCTGCAACTTTGACTTGAAGTAATTCCAGGCCTCCTCCGCCTTATTAGAAATATGCTAATTAAGCATGTGTGTGCAGGCCCCGAGTGTTTTAACCAAAAAAAACCAAACAACCCTATCCCACATAAATAAACCAAATTCAAGAGTATTCTGGGTATATTGATGTTAGCCCAGTTTGTTCTCTATGGGCTGAGTGGAGGTATCAATCAAGTGTGGCTTCAAATATCTTATTTTGCTTTTGAATAAATGTTTTCATCCCCATCCCAACAGTACTGGGTTTACTATAGGGCCAATGGTGCCAGGTCTACATTCATAAGGGGCCCATAATGATTAGATGGGGGCCCGCGAACATGTTTGGTGCCAGGCCCACAAAAGGTTAATCCAGCCCTGGCCATTCCCCATTCTGCCCACCCCCACACAGTATTCCACTCTCCCCAGAAGTGTCCCCGTCCATCCATTCTCCTGTTACCTCCCCAAAATCTGCCACCCAGGTCCTTAGCAAACAATCCAGCTGGGGATCGTCATATGCGACTGCAGTCTCACCACATAATCCTCACATAGCAGCCCACTCAGCCACGCCTACGGATATTCCACATACAAACCGAACACTTGCAGTAGTAATCTTGAGTTCTGTGACACTCCTCAGCTGGTGAACCAGAGACAGGAGGCAATTACTAGAGTTAGGGGGAAACCATACAGAGAAGGGGAGACATACTGTGAAGGCTGTAGTCTCAGTCACCAATCCACAGATGAATTATTACTAAGGGCCTGTAGAGAAAGTAAGGGAGGGATATGGAGCGGACCCATGGGGGCATTTCTGCGGAGGGGAAATACTATGAGGGACCATAAAAAGCATGGCAGTGAAAGTGCAATCTCAGGGCTGGTCTACACTACCACAGTAAATAGATCTAACTTACGCAACTTCAGTTACCTGACTGCACTGTTGATGGGAGAGCATCTCCCGTCCAGGCCATTTCTACACTATGGGGAGAGACTGACCTAAAATATGCCAATTCAGCTACATGAATAACATAGCTTAAGTCGACATATTTAGATCTACTTACACTACATTATGTGGACGGAAGACGCTCTCCTATCGACTCCCCTTGCGCTTCTTGTTCAGGTGGAGTACAGAAGTCGATGGGATCTTCACTAGACCTGCTAAATCGACCACCGACGCATCGATCTCCCGGTAAGTGTAGACAAACCCTCAGGGAGGCGGAGTACACAAATGGATTTATTTAGTGTGTCTTCACCAGACCCACTAAATCAATACTCACTGCATTGATTGCAACACTGTTGATCTACTAGTAAGTTTAAACATGCCCTCAGCTACTGAATTACATACGTCAGCTGAGGGGCCTGCTAAAGAGGACAGCACACAGCTCCATTGATAAAAGCTAATCGTAGCGCAGGTGCAAGTGCAAGTATTATTGCAATGCGGAATGGCTAGTGTGGAAAACAGATTTGAACACGCCAGCAAAAAAGACCTAATCACATAATTGTACTGTGCACAAGCGCAGCAGCGCCCTGATCCGACTGGGGACTCTGGCTACCACAACACACCAGGTTACAAGGAAGCTGAAGAAGCAGCGGAGTAACACCCCCTCAACACATGCATTAGAGACACGGGAAACCCAGATTGGGGAGCGACTCCGGAGCCGGCAAACAGCTCCCAGCCTCGGGAACCCCCCTGGCTTTTGTGCCGCGGCCGGAAACGCGTAACTCGGGGGCACTCACCGGCCCCACCCGGGGCGGCTCAGCTCGGGGGAAGCCAGCAGCCCATTCCGGCACAGCAACGTTACCTGTCCCGTGTGCGTCACGCTCTCACCGCTCTCGGATACGCGCGCGCCGTAGCCTCTCCGGGGGGGTGCGGCCGCCACTCGAACTGGAGCGAGGCGCCTTAGCAACAACAATCTGCGGAAGGTCGAGTAGGGCGCTGCCATTTTGAATCAACCACGTGATCGAGCAACCTGGAGCTGCGGCTGCACATGCGCAACGCGCTTTGCCCCGGAGGAGGCGCAGTGGCGCACGTGACACCGCAGCATGAGACTCGCCCCCGCCTCGTATGGGCCGTGCTGCGGCGGCGCAGTCACGGACTCGCTTTGGTTGGGGGGCAGGGCTCGGCTCAGCTCGCAGCGCCTCGGTCTTCACGTGACCCCTCCGAGCCCGAGTCGCGCTCCTTAGTCCACGCTACAGCTGCTTCGCCGCCGGCGAGCGAAGGTCGGTGGCTCGGACGGGGGGTGGCGCCGTTGGGGGGCGGTCTGGCCCGGGGTCGCCAGTTCCCCATCAGCGAGCGGGGCCCGGCTCACAGGAGCCTGGCTGTATCTGGGTCATGGCAGGGCCGGGGTCAAGGGGCTTCCCCTTCCCCCTCCCTTGAGCCAGGCCGGAACGGCCCTGGTGCCTGCTTGGGCCCGTTACCCGCGGCTGGCCGGGCATGTTGGTGGCTGCGCTGGTGGCCGGTGGGGTGAGGGCGCGGTGTGGGGTCGCTAGGGCCCTGCCTGGGCCGCCGGGCGAAAGGCCCCTCACTCGTCTCTTCTGCCGCAGGTGTGACAACATGGCGGCTTTGCTCGTGAAGACCCTACTGGCGGCTGCCGCCACCCCGCTGTGTTACCTCCGGCACTGCGTGGCCCCGCGCCTGCCCTTCTCTTCCCTGGGCTTCGGACACTTCCTACCGACCGCGCCAGGGTTGGCCGCCAAGCAGCGCGGCCTGGTAGGTCAGCCACTGCTTGCAAGCAGCCAGCTTCCAGTCGTACTGACTGTTATGGGGATGAAAACAAAAGGTGTAATCAAAAGGCGCTGTAAGGACTGTTTTATTGTTCGCAGACGTGGACGATTATTTGTATACTGTAAAACTCATCCCAGACACAAGCAACGACTGGCATAATTTCAGGTTTTTAATGCAAGTAAAACACCTGTTTTCTGAAAATATCCCTCGAAAGACTAGTAAGCTTCTGAATGAAAATACTAAACTAATTCTGCGTATGAAATGGTGATCACTGTAAAGATTGCATATAGTACCAAGATACACATGAATGGCTACTGAGCTGTGGATTTCTCACTATGTGGTAGATTGATCTGTTCCCATAACAGCTATGGCCCCTAATCAGAAAAAGTGGTGTAAAAATGACTGTCATTATAGTAACTACACTCCCAACAATAAAACTTGTTTAAACTTACATTTGCTTTGAGTTAAGATGCTCAATAATAAAATAGGAAAAAAACCTCAAGTGATGGTGTTTTCCTACTTTCTCCAGTAAGTGTGGAGGTAATTACTAAAGTGTTGGTAAATGAATATAATTTTTCCATCATGTAAGGGAGGGAGCAATAGTAGAGCTAAGTTTTCATTGTCTGTAAAGTTATAAGGTATTTAATGCTCGTTACAGTTCAGAATCAAGATAAAATAATTATAGTAATTTGAAGTGGTACAGCCTGTAGTAATGCAATAACAATGATACTTGTGCAACAACTTCTTGTTGCTAGATCATAAATGCTATCGATCAAAAGCCTAATTAAAAAAATTAAACAGATATAAACATAGTGTTTAACTTTGTGTGATTTTTGTCAATCCCTATAATTTATATACACACTGTATTGGCATAACTGTCAGAGGTTTGACTTACTTTTTACTAATACATTTATGCTGGTGTAACCCTTAGTGTAAAGACATCTTTACCAGTATAAAAACCCAAGGTTGAGAGTTCAATCATTGAGGGGGCCATTGAGGGATCTGGGGCAAAAATCTGTCTGGGGATTGGCCCTGCTTTGAGCAGAGGGTTGGACTAGGTGACCTCCTGAGGTCCCTTTCAACCCTGATATTCAAGAAATGTGCTTTGGGGTGGTGCAGCATTCTACTACTTTAACTACAACTGGTATTGTTAGAGCAGTAAAACTTTTGTGCATGGACAAGGTCTTGGTTTACTACTGCCAGCCAAGTTAACATATGAGTATGCAGATTTTCATCCACCAAAGATGTCAGTTGCTCACCATTAATAGCCAATGGTGGGTTTGTTTTTTCTTGTTTTTCTAAAAATCAGTATTAATTATATATGCATCCATATAGTGAATATGACCTTTATGAACATAAGAACGGGCATACTGGGTCAGACCAAAGGTCCATCTAGCCCAATATCCTGTCATCCGACAGTAGCCATTGCCACGTGCCCCACAGGGAATGAACAGAGCAGGTAATCAAGTGATCCATTCCCTGACACTCATTCCCAGCTTCTGGCAAACAGAGGCTAGGGACATCATTCCTGTCCATCCTGGCAAATAGCCATTGATGGCCCTGTCCTCCATGAACTTGTCTAGTTCTTTTTTGAACCCCATTATAGATTTGGCCTTCACAACATCCTCTGGCAAGGAGTTTCACAGATTGACTGCGTTCTGTAGAAAAAATACTTCCTTTTGTTTGTTTTAAACCTGCTCCCTATTGATTTCATTGGGTGACTCCTAGTTCTTGTATTATGAGAAGGAGTAAATAACACTTCCTCATTTACTTTCTCCATACCAGTCATGATTTTATAGATCTTTATCATATCTCCCCCCCCCCCATAGTCATCTCCTTTCCAAGCTGAAAAGTCCCATTCTTATTAATCTCTCCTCATACGGAAGCCGTTTCATACCGCTAATAATTTTTGTTGCCCTTCTCTGTACCTTTTCCACTTTCAATATATCTTTTTTGAGATGGGACGATCACATCTGCATGCATTATTCAAGATGTGGGTGTACCACTGATTTATATAGAGGCAATATGATATTTTCAGTCTTATTTTCTATCCCTTTCTTAAGATTCCGAACTTTGTTTTTGGGGGGGGTTTTTTGGACTGATGCTGCACACTGAGCGGATGTTTCCAGAGAACTATCCACAATCACGCCAAGATCTCTTTCTTGAGTGGTAACAACTAATTTAGACCCCATCATTTTATATGTATAGTTGGGATGTTTTCCAGTGTGCATTACTTTGCTTTTATCAACATTGAATTTCATCTACCATTTTGTTGTCCAGTCACCCAGTTTTGAGAGAGCCTTTTGTAGCTATTCACAGTGTGCCTGGAACTTAACTATCTTGAGTAGTTTTGTATCATCTGTAAATTTTGGCACCTGTTTACTGCTTTTTCCAGATAATTTATAAAGATGTTGAATAGCACTGGTCCCAGTACAGACCCCTGGGACACCATTATTTACATCTCTTCATTCTGAAAACTGACAGTTTATTCCTACCCGTTGTTTCCTATCTTTTTAACCAGTTACCAATCCATGAGAGGACCTTCCCTCTTATCCCACGATAGCTTACTTTAAGAGCCTTTGGTGAGGGACCTTGTCAAAGGCTTTCTGAAAATCTAAGTACGCTACATAAGAATAGCCGTACTGGGTCAGACCAAAGGTCCATCCAGCCCAATATCCTGTCTACCAACAGTGGCCAATGCCAGGTGCCCCAGAGGGAGTGAACCTAACAGGTAATGATCAAATGATCTCTCTCCTGCTGTCCATCACCACCCTCTGACAAACAGAGGCTCTGGACACCATTCCTTGTCCATTAATGGCTATTGGCCATTAATGGACTTAACCTCCATGAATTTATCCAGTTCTCTTTTAAACCCTGTTATAGTCCTAGCCTTCACAACCTTCTCAGGCAAGGAGTTCCACAAGTTGACTGTGCTGTGTGAAGAACTTTTTCCTTTTATTTGTTTTAAACCGACTGCCCATTAATTTCATTTGGTGGCCCCTAGTTCTTATATTATGGGAACAAGTAAATAACTTTTCCTTTTTCACTTTTTCCACATCATTCATGATTTTATATTTCTCTATCATATCCCCCCTTAGTCTCCTCTTTTCCAAGCTGAAAAGTCCTAGCCTCTTTAATCTCTTCTCATATGGGACCCGTTCCAAACCTCTAATCATTTTAGTTGCCCTTCTCTGAACCTTTTCTAATGCCAGTACATCTTTTTTGATAGGAGACCACATCTGTACGCAGTATTCAAGATGTGGGCCTACAATGGATTTATATAAGGGCAATAAGATATTCTCCGTCTTATTCTCTATCCCCTTTTTAATGATTCCTAACATTGTGTTTGCTTTTTTGACTGCCGCTGCACACTGCGTGGATGCCTTCAGAGAACTATCCACGATGATTCCAAGATCTTTTTCCTGATTAGTTGTAGCTAAATTAGCCACCATCATATTGTATGTATAGTTGGTTGTTTTTTTTCCCCAATGTGCATTACTTTACATTTATCTACATTAAATTTCATTTGCCATTTTGTTGCCCAATCAACTGGATCCCCCTTGTCCACATGCTAGTTGCCCCCGTCAAACAATTCTAGTAGATTGGTGAGGCAAAAACCATGTTGACTCTTCCCCAACAAATTGTGTTCATCTATGTTTAATATCTTTATCAATGATCTGGAGGATGGTGTGGACTGCACTCTCAGCAAGTTTGCAGATGACACTAAACTGGGAGGTGTGGTAGATACACTAGAGGGTAGAGATCGGATACAGAGGGACCTAGACAAATTAGAGGATTGGGCCAAAAAAAACCTGATGAGGTTCAACAAGGACAAGTGCAGAGTCCTGCACTTAGGACGGAAGAATCCCATGCACTGCTACAGACTAGGGACCGAATGGCTAGGTAGCAGTTCTGCAGAAAAGGACCTAGGGGTCACAGTGGATGAGAAGCTGGATATGAGTCAACAGTGTGCTCCTGTTGCCAAGAAGGCTAACGGCATTTTGGGCTGTATAAGTAGGGGCATTGCCAGCAGATCGAGGAACGTGATCGTTCCCCTTTATTCGACATTGGTGAGGCCTCATCTGGAGTACTGTGTCCAGTTTTGGGCCCCACACTACCAGAAGGATTTGGAAAAATTGGAAAGAGTTCAGCGGAGGGCAACAAAAATTATTAGAGGTCTGGAGCACATGACTTATGAGGAGAGGCTGAGGGAACTGGGATTGTTTAGTCACCAGAAGAGAAGAATGAGGGGGGATTTGATAGCTGCTTTCAAATACCTGAAGGGGG